CAGTTTCCTAGAGACCTTGATATTAAAATGAAAGCAGTGATGCTTGGTGCTTGTTTTCTTATTGTAAGTCTATTCTTGCTAACCTTGGTCATAGATGATTTCTCTAATATCATTCTGAAATATCAGTAAATTGTACATTTTAAGATTACTTCCTATAGTTTACAGGTTTTATACAAGGTTCCCATTTAATCCTAGCTCTGAAATTCTATTTGATCCTGACACTCTGAATTAACTAGTTCAGGTCTGAAGAGTCTATGCACTTTCAAATGACAAGAGAAAAACATCTGTTAAGGAGAGGCCCTGGTTTGGCGGATTTTTATTAAAAAAAATCAAAAATTGTACTTAAGAGAAGAATTTGAATCTAGTCTTACATGGAATAAAACTCAGTGAAACACAGAGATTTCATACTGACTCATTACTAAATTAAATTATTTAATATAGAAATATAAACTGAGACAAAAGTATACATCCAATCAAGCCTTTAGCTCTTAACTACGAATTTACAGGAAATACATGGGATAAAGCTGTGATTCTGAACTTGACTTCACATTAGAATAACCTAGGAGCTTTTGTTAATAAAATCCTCAAATACCAGGGCATACCCCATTTCAATTAAATCAGAAGTTCAGAATCAGAAGTTTGTGTAGTGCCCCAGGTGATTCCAAAATGCAGCCAAAGTTGAGGATTATGGGGACAGAGCAATGGTTTTCAACCTTAGCTACACAACAGAAGCACCTGAGTAATTTTTCAAATTCCGCGTGTCCAGATTGCACCCAAATATATTAAATCAAAATCTCTGGAGGTGGGAACAAGCTTTCTAGCTGTTTAGAGCTCCTAGATGATTCCAATACGACCAAGGTTTGGAAGCACTAGATGAATATCTTAAACATTGATTTGAGGATGCAGTCAGAAAAAAAAAATAGAAGGCGAGAAAATATACAACCACCACCAAAACCCCCCAACAAACCAATAGCAAGGAAAATAAAAAGAAAGAGATAAAACAAGAGAGAGAGAGAGAGACTTGAGAGATTTCAACCTAATACAGTTCATGGACCATGTTTGGATATTGATTTGAGCAAACCAATGTAAAAAGACATTTACAAAACATTCAGGAAAATTTGAACATCGACTGGCTATTTGATGATATTAAAGACTTATTAATACTTTTAGATGTGATAATATTATGGTTATATAAAAGCAAAACAGTATCTATATCTTTTAGAGGCACAGACTCAGGTATCTCAGGGGATTTGCTTTTAAATAATGTGGGTAAGAACAGGGAGGATCTAGGGCATGATATAACAGATTAAACAAATAGAAGTTGAGCATCCCAAATCCAAAAATCTGAAATGCTCTAAATCCAAAGCTTTTTGAGCACTGACATGACACTCAAAGGAAATGCTTACTGTACTATTTTGGATTTCGGATTTGGAATGCTCATCTCATAAGTATAAATGCACATATTCCAAAATCTGAAAAAATCCAAAATTTGGAGCACTTCTAATCCTAAGCATTTCACATAAGAGATTACTTAACCTGGATGATCATGTTAATAATTATTGAACTAAATGAAGGGTCATTGGGACTTTATTATGCTGTTTTATCTAATTTGGGATAGGTATAATATTTTCTGTAATAAA